GCAAGAATTCTTAGAATCAGAGGATTTTAAGTTACAGTACTTAAATTAGATGATTAAAAGAAAGAAAAGTGAATAGGAGATAGGAAGGGAAGGCCACTAAAGCAGACAGTTCTAGGAGTTTGGCTGTGAAGAAGAGGAAAGATACAGGGTAATAGCTTTAGGAGGCATGGTAGGCTCTGCTGAAGGGCTAGTAAGGAAGGAAAAGATCTGAGAATCTTTGTAGGCATCAGGCAAGGCGCCAATGGAAAGAGCATTTAGAAATTAGTGGGAGAAAGGAATGATTAAAGAGCCAAACTCCTAGGGCAGGCAGGAAAGAGAAGATAGGGTTGTTGCTGGCAGGAAACTCCCAAATCGAGTCAAAAGAGGAAAGAAGAGATGAAGGAGTGAGGGATTTGAGGTGTGGAACTGGGAAGAAGAGGGAGCAAAACATTGGCTTGGTAACATTCTAAGCTTATCCTGTGATGATGTATGTTATGTTAATCTGCATTTATCCCCTATCAGTCTGTAAGATTCAGAGGGAAAATGATGTCTCATTTAAATTTTCAATCTCCCTCCATACCAAGCACAGGTCTCTGCATATTGTGGGTTAATAAATGTGTGTTAAACGAAAAAAAAAAAAGATTTTGTAGCTGTATTTTGGTTAAAAGTTTATTTTAAACTGACTCAATCTGATAATTTCTAATGGAACTCATAATTATGATCATTAGCTTTTATTTAATTACGTTTTAGATCCATGCCGGAAAATATAGTCTCCTTTGTAATACAAAGATATTGAAATTCATTTTCATAACTCAGCACTTTTCCCATTATACTTGATGCATTGGCAGAGAACTATTTTTCTACTGAGGGAAGGTCCTTGAGCCATGGGAAAAAATCCATAAATAGCCATGTTAAGTAAAAAAACAATCATTCCATTTCATATTTTGATGTTTTTTGAGGGGAGAGACAGTTTGAAAGGGAGAGAAACATAAAAACATTTGGCTCATTTAGTTTTTAAACAGAAACAATGAACATAAGCCGTTCAATTAACAGAACGATCGCCTATGTAATATGTAACATAATGAGAGCCAATTAGCAGAAAGAGATGGAGGTGGGAGGTAGAAAAAGCCAGAAGGGAAGGCCAAGACCTCCACAAAGGGAGGGAAAGCAATACCAAGAGGTAGCTATTGAAGAAATTTTGGTGAAGCAATACTTCCATCTTGTGGCCTTTCTGGTCCTACCACAAAGGATTTTTTAAAAACTGTGCTGTTCTCACAACTATAGACAAAAGCATATGATATTCCCATGGCCCATGGAATTGAGCTGAAGGTCAGATCTGACCTTCAAACCATTTTTCCTACACCCCTGATGTGGAGGGTAAACTGTTCACGCTAGTTCATGCATGTTCCTGATGCTAGTTCATGCATGTTCCCGAGGCCAGTTCCTAATGCCTGTCCCTTCTGTGAGTCCGCATTAAAGATAAGAAGCAAGGCAGACAAAGGATGGCTGCAAATGAAAGCAAAACCATATTGGGGGGAAAAAAAGGGTGACATTCAGCATAGTTTTAGCAGCATTCTTTTGCAGCTGTAAGGAAATTAGCGGGATTAGCAAAACAAGCAAATCACTTATAATTTGGCTACTGTGCAGGATGGCCAATTATCAGCTATACTGTGGATGGAAAATTCTTGGAATATTTGCAAACTGAATCCCAAATAAACTAATCCAAATTCCGTCTTAACTAAAATTCAATCTCTTTACCATGTGGACATCTGGCAGTCCAGCCAACAAGCACTTATTAACTGCCTACTACATACCAAGCACTATGCTAAGCCCTGAGGACACAAAGAAAGGCAAAAACCGGTTCCTGTCCCTAAAGCAGATCATCACATCATGGAAACAAACAACTCTGTACAAACAAGATAGAATCAGGGTAAATTGGGGGCAAACTCAGAGAGAAGGCACTAGCATCCAGGGGGACCAGGAAAGGCTTCTTGCAGAACATGAGATTTTATCTGAGATGTGAAGGAAACCAGGCAGGTGAGGAGCGTTCCAGGCATAATGGACAAGCAGTGAAAATGCCTGGAGTCAGAAGATGGATTGTCTGGGGCAGCTAGGCAACACAGTGGATAGAGCTCCAGCCTTGGAGTCAGAAGGACCTGAGTTCAAATTTGGCATCAGACACTTGACGCTTACTAGCTATGTGACCCAGGGCAAGTCACTTAACCCTGATTGCCTCACCAAAAAGCAGGGGAAAAAAATGGATTATGTTGTGCAAGGAGCATCTAGGAGGCCAACATGGCTGAATCATAGAGTCTATGAAGGGTAGGAAAAGTGTAAGAACAACAGAAGGGTAGGAAAGTGAGGGGTTATGAACGGCTCTAAAGACCAGGCTCATACTGTTATCTCTCTGCCTGCATCTTTTCTTATGCATGGGTGGGTATCATTTTCTCATTTGCTCAAAACCCCTAAGGTTTCTTCATCAGGGAGAATTTCTTTGAGAGGATAATTCCACCAAGTAGAAATCAGTGAGAGTCTGAGGAAGAAGGTGCCAAGAATTAGGAGCAGCAGAGGGCAGGAAGTAGGGCCTGGAGATTACTCAACTTGCCACTAAGGTGACCCTGAGTTCCACTAGGAGAGGCAGAGCGTCCAGGACTTGAGAGTTCGTTCTATGTCCTCTGCCTTCAGACCACACTTGGAGCACTGTGTTTGATTCTGGGTCTCAGGGAAGGAAGCCAAGTTGGTGAGGGCCTCAAGACCATGCCAAATGAGGATCAATTAAAAAAAGCAGGGACATACAGCCTAGAGAAAAGTGGATTTAGGAAGTATGTGATAGCTCTCTCCAAAGGCAACTCTCCACCTCCAAAGGCAGCCCCTTCCATTTTGGTCCCAGCACTAATTGTTAGGAAGTTTATTCCGACATGTAACTCCACCTACATTTCTCAGTTTTACCCTCTGCAGCCAAGTGGAACGAGTATTGTCCCTCCTTCCACAAGACAGATTTTTAAGTACTTAAAGCTAGTAATCATGTCTCCCTCTGGTGCTAGCGCAGTGCCTGGCACACAGTAGGCACTTAATAAATGCTTGTTGCCTGATTGATTCCCACTCTGAGATTCCATAATTCTGAATTGCCTCCAAAAAGGTGAAGAGTTTCTCCTAGCACATCAGGACAAATAAGTGACCATTTAAATTATCTGTGTGTGGCCGCATTTCTTGATGTCATCATTTCTCAAGACTTCTAACAACAATACGATAAATAAAGTATATAATGTTGGTTGCTTATTACTATAAAATTTCATTAAAAAAGCATCTCATTGTTCTACAGATTCTCATATTTCAGGCGATATCATACTTCACTTTGTATATAAAGGTGTGTGGTGCATTCACATTATAACTGAAAAACTCATGACATAAGTGGTATCCTAGATGCCTGGCACCAGGGCTGTGAGTGCTCTGCTATACTTTTGAACACCATTTGTGAGGAGATGGAGCAAAGGTGAAAGTTTGGGTGGAAAGGATCCAGGAGTTTTAGCATAGTACAAGTTTATTATGAGTCAATGGGTATAATGAGGCAACCAAAAAAACAAAGGCTATCTCTGGCTTCCTTAGAAAGAACATGAGACCCAAATCAAAGAGTCTACCCATTCTCTCCTTTGGTCAGACCATATCTGGAGTACTGTGTTTAGTTCTGGGTACCATATTTTAGGAAGGAAATCAATAAATGGAGAGCAACCAAGCCAGTGAAGAGAGTAGAAGTTATGCCATGTTCACTGAACAAACTGGGGATGTGGGAGGAAATCTGGTCTGAGGAAGAGAAACTTGTTAGGGATCATGATAGCTGCCTTCCAATATCTGAAGGACTGTAATGTGGGGAAAGGCTTATTTTGTTTGGCCCCAGAGGAAAGAATTAGGATTAATGGATAGAAAATATAAGAAGGCAGATTTAGGTTCAGAGTTAAAGAAAAACTTTCTAATTAATAGAGTGGTCCAAAAGTAGAACCACCAATCTCAGTGAGTTCCTTATCACTTGAGGTTTTCAAATATAGGTTAGATGACTACTCGTCAGAAATATAGGGGGTCCCTCCCACAGTCTTTCTGTACATAAGGTCCACCTTGTCTCCATTAAGATGCTCAGATTCCTAAAATCTAGCCACAGCTTAGCTTCTTGTAATCTAGCCACGGTTTAGTTTCCTAAAATCTAGCCTTTGCTCAGATTCTTATAATTCAGCCACTGCTCGAATTCTTATAATCTAGCCACTGCTGGGATTCCTAAAATCTAGCCACTGCTGGGATTCTTATAATCTAGCCACGGCTTAGTTTCTTACAATCTAGCCACGGCTTAGTTTCTTACAATCTAGCCACGGCTTAGTTTCTTACAATCTAACCACGGCTTAGTTTCTTATAATCTAGCCACGGCTTAGTTTCCTAAAATCTAGACACTGCTGGGATTCTTATAATCTGGCCACTGCTGGGATTCTTATAATCTAGCCACACTCAGATTCTTATAATCTAGCCACTGCTGGGATTCCTAAAATCTAGCCACAGCTCTGATTCTTAAAATCTAGCCACTGCTTACTCATGTTTGGACTCCTTAAGAGTCTGCCCAATATGACAATGTTCTAATAAACCTTGTCTTTGGCTGACAAAAAAGAAAAAAAAAAGAAATATAGAGTCAATTCATGTATCACACAAGCATTGTATTAGCGGGCCTCTAAGACCACTTCCCTGTCTGAGATACATATTTTCAGATATTTTTAGCCTACCCTGGCCTTTGGGACCTATTAATGATATATTTTCCATTTTGTGCAGTGGGTATTGGGGGTCAGAGAGAAATAACTGTTACTATTGATTCTTTACTTCTCCCCCAACACACAAGCAAATGTAGTTAGAGGAATGTCTCGTAGTTTCTGCTGATTTGTCATTTTAACAATTTTGTGCTGAATCCATGACCCAGGAAATATCTGGCAACTCACTGTTTCTACCATCTAATTAATTATGTCCACTTCCCCTTCCTTTCTTCTCAGGTACAAGTGGGAAGTACACCTCAGGACCAAAGAATCGTGGGATATATTTCCTGCACCCACTTGCAAGCTGAAGGAGGTATGGAATTACTTATTCCTTAATTCTTAGGTTTGTAATGCAGGCAACACTTTACTGAATAGAGAGAAAAGACTACCCCCACCTACTTCCATCAGGGCACAGAAAACAAGAGCAAAATAACTCACGCGCTCACACACACAAAAATAGCATTGAAAAATACCCTCCCACCTTGTTGGAAGCAAGACAATTGTACCTTGTCATGTAATCGAGCATTTACATAGACTGCTGTCCTTCCTCCCAGCCCCCCGCTAATCAGAACATGGGCAAAGCAGAAGGTTGCATAGCGTCTCAAACTGCAAAGAACATGGTAGCGCCTATATTATCAAAGTAACTCCCTAAAAGCTCTCCACCCCAAAGAACAAGGCAGACAAGAAAGCTTTCACTTCCCACGCACGTCTGCCCATTGTTCCAGGGGAGACAGCTGTCACGATTCAGAGGTTACTGGGAAAATGTTGCTCTTCCTTGGAGAAAGCAGAATTGCTGAGATTCTATGATACCGCCATGTTGGCATATGGTATACAATCACAGTGACACTTGTTGTATGGCATATGATGCTCCAGTCAAAAGTCTATGGGGCAGAGGGATAGAGCTGAAAGGGTCCACCAGAGAATTCGTGTTTCCAGTACTTGGAACGGAATCACAAATACCATCTTATAACCAAAGCTCTGTCACCATTCTCAGTAAAGACAGCTTCACTTTCTCTTAGGCTTTCATTCCCCCTACAAGAAGCCATGAGTTGATCCTTGCTTCAAGAATATTCTTAAGTGGCACACTTAAGAACACAACAGTAACCAAGGATGGCAAAGTGACACGTGTCTCTCTTCACCCCAGAATTTACAGAGATGGAAGACGACACCTAGAAAACTTCTTGATTCACAGATTAGAACTGGAAGGGATTTTAGAGGTCATCCGGTCTAAACCCTTCATTTTGTAGATGAAGTCCAATTAGAATTTGGTAATTCATCAAGGCCATACATGTAGCAAATGGCAGAACCAGGATTTGAACCCAGGCTCTCTGATTCTTGCCTCTCATAGGATTTATCTCTTTTTTCCCAAGCCCAAGAGAGAATAGAGTTCTTGTTTCTTCCAGGGTCTCATCCTTCCCACTAATCAATCCCTTCACAAAATCATCTCCCTCATTCTTCTGGTTGTCTAGTTGACTCTTTGACCCACGTTAAAGATTGCACTTTTATAAACATTAAATTTCATCCTATTTATTTTAGCCCAACATGCCAGCCTGTAAAGATCTTCTGGAATACAGATTCTGTGTTCCAACATATGCAAAATCCTTCCTAGCTGCATACGAAAAGAAGCTATGATTTCATTAGCCTGGTAAATTCCTAGTATGGTGATTCCTTCCACCAACAGGGATAACAAACCATCTGTGACGTAATAGATAAATCCTAGGGTGTTGTCTGAAATGCAGAGAGTTTAAGTCACACAGCTACAAAGGGTCAGACCCAGTATTTGAGCCGAGGTCTTCCTGACTCCGTTGCAGCCCTATGTCCACTATACCATGGTTCCTCTGGTTTCATGTCATCCACAAATTTAATAACATATCTTCATCTGTCGTTGACTATGGTGGTGCACAGAATAAGGCCCCAAACAAGCATGTCTCATCCCCACAGCTCCCTCCCTAAGGATAAGCCCTGCAGCCACAAGTGGGCTTCCTTAGTGAAAGTGGCTGTCAGTGGTGAGGAAGTCCTTGGTGCCACCTGGGAAAATCAACAGCCCCTGTGTCTGGAGAGAAAACAACTAACAGGGAAAAGACAGGGTTTTCTAGAGCATGGAGAAAAGCTCCTACTGACAGACACAAGATTGAGAAAGTGTCTAAATCTATATCAAAGAGTATAACAGAATTTATATATGTTTGAATCTCAGTTACCCCAAATCTCAATAAAGTCCATATGTATTTCCTTTCCTCCCTCAATTCATATTGTTACAGCTGGAAGAAATCTTAAAGACTGTGTAATTCAGGGATTCTTAACGATTGGTCACAGACTCCTTTGGCAGCCTGGTGAACCCTATGGACCCCTTCTCAGAATATTACTTTGTTCTCTACATTCATAATTGAAAGAAATTATAAAATTCAGTTATATATTAGCAGTTATAAAGATGTAACTTTCCTATCCATGTTTATAGACCCCCTGAAATCTTTCTAAGGGCCACTTAGGGATCTTTGGATCCTTGGTTAAGGACACTTGATTTAATCCAACACCCTCACTTTACAGATCAGGAAACCTGGGCCCAGAGTTTAGAAGTCCAATTTCTGTGGTGCTTTGTGATTCACAAAGCACTTTTCTCACAACAACCCTGCTAATTACTGTAAGAATTACCATCCCCACTTTACAAAGATGAGGAAACTGACTCCAGAGAAGTTAAACGATTTGCCCATGACCACAAAGCTAGCTAATGGTTTATTTGTACACGATGTTGGGGAGGATGTTGACTACATTGGAATACAGAATCAGCATCCCAAAGAATCAGCATTCAGTCCATTGTACCATGCTACCTACCCTCGGCAGTCATAAAACTGTCACCTGCATTCTTCCCTTAAATTTTGCCATTTAACATTTAAATCCTTAGAACAGTTTAGATGTGCCCCAAAGATAATCAAAAAGCCCAAAAGATCAGTTATGCCTATGTAATGATTATATGAATAGTTATAAATAAAAATTTCACAGAACTTCATCCTAAAAAGAAAAATCCCTATTATATAGATCTAGGATGGAAACAATTCTCTGCTACTTACTACCTGAAAGTAAGGCACTTTCCATCCATTTCCTCCCCTCTAAAATGAAGGGCATTGGCCTGGATGGTCTCCATAGGCCCTTCCATTCTAAATCCTTTGACTCTAATGAGAATCAGAGGACCTGTAACAAAGGTCACCATGATAGGTAATGGGTTGGAGTGGCCTTGCTCTTTGGAGCTTGGTGGAAAAGTCCTTGCTCAGAGTGAGCCTGCTAGAAGAACCAGCAGCTGGAGTTGGTCCAAATTCTTGGCCTGGTTTCTGGCTGCCAATTGTAACATAAATTGTTAGCAAGCTTATGCTCTGTTTAAAAATATTGTTTGCTCTGTTTAAAAATATTTCCACTACTTCAGCTACTACTCTATCCAAAGCCAGATATATGCTGGGCTTTGTTTGAGGAAATTATACACTCCCAGAGACAACTTTCAGTTTAATGTGTAGGTAAATTAAATGAACCACAGTAAAGTCCCTACAGTGAAGATCTAACAAGTGTTAGGTCAACATAGGGTTGGCTTGGGCTGGGGGGGAAGGACGCTGGGTTGTCATCTTTTTCCAGTGGATTTAATTCTCCAGATCATTACTCACTCTGAAGTACTTGTGGCTACTTGGGGACCTGGGCAATAAAGTCATTAATTTACCGTCAAAAACAAGGTTTTGAGCAGCTTCTAAACGATCACCAGTTTTGCAAACACAGACCTTGCCCATTTTGGGCAAGACACAGACTCACTTTCAAAATTCGCCTGTAGACATCCTAGGATCTGGTGGGAGGGATGGCAGTACCTGTACCCTCTAGTCTTGACATCAGAGCTGCCCTCCTTGAGGCAGGATTATTGTCATCTTACAAAGCCACGAACCATTCACAGAGCACACTTAGATTCATCTTGTCCAAGGCAGTGAAGGTCTATTTTTAGACCTGCTTTTAGCACTTAGAAAGATAACATCAAGTGTTGCTGTTGATACGTGAGACCCAGTAAAGAAAAGGTGCCATGCAGAACAAAATCAGAAATTGCTCACAGTATTTCAATGGTATCATTTCCCTTCCATTTTAAATTATATTCAGCCATAGAACTGTAGTGATCCTCCTCCCCAACTTGGTGCTATGGCTTTTAAGGAGAAATAAGATTGTTAATACTCACAAAAGTATCATATTTTGGTTTCATTTCATAAACTAGGGAATTTATCTAGAAGCCAGAACCAAAACCCTTGATTATGTAGACTGGGTTCAATCTTGACAGCATCTCACCAATTATTCTTTCGAGCTCAGACCCATACCTAGAGTTTACTAGAAATATCAGAATGTAACTCGGGTCTAGGTCCCTACAGAAAAGACAAAAGGGTCCTCAGTTTCCACGTTTATACTTGGGCTAACAATGCATCTACTACAGGATAGGTTAGATAGAACCTAATTTAAAAAAAACACACAAAACATTAAGGTCTCACACTTTATCCCATAACTTGTCAAGAAAATCCTCTTTCTCTCTCAGGAACACTCTGACCTTTTCTAGGGACCTATACTGTGCTTTATATTCATAGCACTGTGAGTAGCTTCCAAAAAGGAGAGATGCACTAGGAATCTCTGTCTATTCTTCTGATGAACCTCACCTTCCCCAGAGGACATAGACAGTCCTCCAGAAATACAGAACTACCTGGAGGCTGAAAACCTCACCACTAGGGAAATACCCAGGTGATTACTAGAGAATCAACCTCTTTCCACTGGACTTTCACAATGCACAGAATTAAAATAAGCCAAAGTCCATATTTAGGCCTCCATCTTGTGGTTCTGCCCCTTGTTACTTCTCAGCTCCTGATCTTACTTTGTCTTGGAACTCAGTTTCTCCAACAACACCTCTCTCTCCAAATGTTTAGTATAGAAATTCCTCCTCTGAGTCCTTTCCTCCTCTCCTTGAGCAATGTGGTTCTTTCTCTCATGGGGCCATGATTCCCTTCCAGGGAACAAAATTTGAGTCTCTGTAGGTCCTCTTTTATCTGTCTCTCTCTCTCTCTCCCCCTCCTTTCCCTATTTGTTCTTTTATTTATTTATTTTACCTATAAGCCACACTTTATTTTCTTTTTTTCTAATCTATTTTATTTTCCCCCAACTACATGTTAAAACAATTTTTAATATTTGCTTTTTTTAAGTTTTATCTGCATCTCTTAGGTCTAGTATCTCTATTTCTCTAGTTTCCCTTTATAAAAGCCTCATAGGTATATCCCAGGTGCTCTGAAATTAGTCATGTATCAATCAGTCTGAGGTCAATGGGTCCTGACACCCAGGGTAAGGAGGATTCACAGCCCACCAAGAAGACATCATCAATGCCAGGCCAAAGTTTAAAATGTGGCAGGATGGATGTCTGTCCTTGTACGGGGAGATATCTTTAATGCCAGAACAAAGGTCTCACCCTTTAACCCTGTTAACGTTGACCAAGTTCCTCCTGGGACACCTTCTACATATTACTGAAGGCAACCTTGGCTGGGAAATGCAGTACATGGAGTGAAGGCAAGGGGGGGTCTGCTATCAAGGACTAGCTCAAGACCTTGTCTTGCTTTCTGAACCACTTCTTCATAACCCACCTCTAGTCTTTTATTCCTTGAATACAGAAGGCTCAATGGTTCAATCTCTGCTCAGGTTCTAAAATCACCTCTGGGTCCTTTGCTCTTGATGTGGTAGACCAGAGGGACCTGGGAACGTAGGGTGGGAAAACAGAGCCTGGAGTCAAGCTGTACCTTAGATCACTTGGATGTCTTTGTATTTCTTTCGTTCTCTCTCTGGAAAGTATGAATTTGAATATATGGGACTACTTCATGGGATTACTCATTTGCATTAATTAGGACCTAGCCATAGCCTTTTCCTAAGTTCCTTTTCTATAGAAGTTAATGGTATGTACCAAAAACAATATATTGTGTCTACATCAACAGTCTATCTACAAGAGTAGGTTGTGCATCAGTATAAAACAGTAGCATTCAACTCCAGACTATTTATGTGATCTTAAAATGAGAGGTTTAGAGTAAATGATCTCTCAGGTCCCTTCTAGCCCCAAATACTGTAAGCAACATAACCTAAGTGGTCATGTGAAGTATCTTCATGTTGTCCTAATTTTCAAAAAAAAAAAAGTGAATGAAATCCGCAGGCTATAAGCCAGTGAGCTAGATTTCAATTCCCGACAAAATTCTAGATTCTGTTCTAAAGGGAGAGTTGGTGAACATCTAGAAAAGGAAGCAGTGATCACAAAGACCCGACATGATTTCATCAAGAATAGATCATGCCAGGCTAACCTCATTTTTGACAGGGTTGTTAGATCTGGGGAACCCTATAGATGGTTTACCTAGATTTTATTTACACATTTGACCATACCTCTCATTATTCTTGTGGAGAAGCCCAAAGGACATGAGCCAGACAAGAGTACAGTTAGGTAGACTTGAAACTGGGATGGTCATTAATAAGTCAATGTCTACTGGGAAGGAGGTCTCTAATGAGTGCCCCAGGGATCTATCCTATTTAACATGTTTACCAATAACTTGGATAAAGGTAGAGATCACAAGCTTATCAAATATACAGCAGACACAAAGCTGGGAGGAATAGTTTATACACTGGGGGACGGTTTCAGGGTCCAAAACTATTTCAACAGGTCAGGACATCATGCCAGATCAAATAAGATGAAATTTAATTCTGATAAATATAAAATGTTAAATTTGGGGTTTAAAAAATCTATGTCATAAGTAGAGCATGTAGGAACTATACTTAGAGAGTACTTTATCTGAAACTGAAAAAAATGGGGGAGGGAGACAGGCCTTAGTGGACTACAGTCTCAATATGTGTCAACAGTACAATATGAAATCCAAGAAAAGTAACAGGACCTCAGTCTATATTGAGAGGCCTGGTGATGAGGCAGCCATCCTCCTGGACACTGCCCTGATCAGACTGACCACATCTAAGTGTCACATTTTATGAAGGATTTTGATAAACTGGAATATCCAGAGAAGGAGAGACAGCCAGGGGCTCAAGATTACGTCCTGTGAGCATGATTCTAGGATGTTGAATGGGGAGAAAAGCAGACTTAGCGGTGGTGGCTTAGGGATCCCCAACCTCTACCTAGGCAGTCAATTCTTCTGGATTTTCCAAACCCTCATGAGCACCAAAGATGAGGAGAATGGTTAGAAGGCATTCAAAATTCACCAAGCAGCCCACAGAGGTGAAGGAAGGTAGGGAGGAGGAGACCCAGTATTCATTCCTACCCTTTGCAGAAAGTTGGTTAGTGCCAACTCCCTACCAAATGCTGGGAAGCTGGGGTTTGGAGGACTGGCAGCAGAACTTGGACCAGTTTGTGGCCATCCGAGCTATGCAGCTTAAAGAGAACCGCTATCTCACAGCTGACTGAACGAGAACTCCTGCTATTCTGCTAACTATCTTCTTGTCCTGGGGCAAGGGACAGTGATGAGTCCTGAGCAGACCACAGTGCTGGCAACTGCATCTCTCTTTTCCTTTTGGGGAACTGAGTGGACTTCCCCTCAAAGGCAAGCTGGATTCTCTGCTCCTTCTCCAGAGCCCAAGGACAATTCTTATGGGCTTTTAGGAGACTGTTGTCCTAAAAAAAAAACAAAAACAAAAACAAAAACAAAAACAAAAAAAAAAAACCCAGTTCTTTCCTAGAATAATATCTCCAAAGGAAAGACCCTCAATATGTAAGTGGGGGGCAGGTTAGAGATGGAAACCATGAGGGCGGTTCTTAGGGAGCTAAGGCAGGGCTCTGGGCACCCATGGGTAGGTACCAGCCTCCTTGACTGTGAGACAGGTGGCCCATGTTTTCCTTTTGGCTGTTTTTCCCATCTAGAAGACAGCACCATTCGATGTGAACAGCTGAATCAGCTTCAGGATTGGCTGGCTGATTTCCGAAAATCTACCTCCTCCTCCAGCACAGCCAATCCCGAGGAGCTAGTGGCGTTCGATGTGCTTTGCGGAGACTTCAACTTTGACAACTGCTCTTCTAGTAAGAAAGCTTTTTCTCTCTCTTCCTCCTCCAATCCTATGAAACCAAACCTTGATCTTGGAAGCCTCATTCTGCCTCTGACATTCACTTCTTATGGGACTTTGGGCACATCACATTATCGCCCTGGGCCACAGTTTCTTCCTCTATAAAATGAAGAGGTTGGGATCTGAGGTCCCAGCTGGAATGCTGTGACTATCCCCCTTACCCCAGCCCCTGGTGACACATCATCAGTCATCCTCACCCCAAGTGGGGCCTCCCATGATCAGGGCTGGGAAGCACCTTGTTAGCAAGACCAGAAAGAGCAGATACTCTGATGTTTCATCCACTACCACTTTCAACCAACACTGCCTGCTCTAGCAACTGCCCAGATCTGGGGCCTGGGGTCTCCACTCATTGATTCTCTTGCAGTGGTACCAGCTGAGCCCTGTTGCTGATGCCATGATGCTCTGGAGGTACCAGTTTTCAGCCCAGAGAGTAGAATGGGGCCAGGCTAGCTTCTAATATTGTCAGGGAACTGACCAGCACCCGGCTCAGTAGGATCCCAGACTAGACGTTAGGACCCTAGCCCTTAAGAAACAAGTGATAAACCTAATTTTCTTTTTAAAAACCGGGGGGGAGGGGCAGCTAGGTGGTACAGTGGATAAAGCACCGGCCCTGGAGTCAGGAGGACCCGAGTTCAAATCTGCCCTCAGACACATAACACTCACTAGCTGTGTGACTCTGGGTAAGTCACTTAACCCCACTGCCTAGCCAAAAAATAAAAATAAAAAACTGGGTGGGAAGAAAGGTGGCTCTCTTCACATCACAGAAACAATAAGGTTAATTCCTCCAGTGTGGACATCAGGCACTGTTTTCATAAAGGCTATGAAAAATGAGTAGATCTTTCACTTTTGTTTTTGAGAATAATAATAATAATAAACAATAGCTAGCATTTACACATTTATGCATTTATGGTTTGCAAAGCATTTTATATATGTCCTCTTCTTTTATCCTTACAATAACCCTGTAAGGCAACTACTATTACAATAACCATTTTACAGATGAGGAAACTGAGGCTAAAGGAGGATAAGGGACTTGCCCAAGGTCACACGGCCAACAGAGGTTTGAAGTAGAATTTGAACTCAGATTTCCTGACTCAGAACTATGCACAGTGCCACCTAGCTGCCTCTATGCAGACATCACTAGCAGACAACACGTCTTCTAGTGCACAAATAGGTCCTTCCCTCTTCTGGACAAACACACCAAGCGTGAGGCTGAGATCCCAGAGCCTGGCACCAAGGAGAGGGGAGGGGGCTGACAGGATGGAGAAAGCATAACTCCAGGCATTCCTGGGCCTTCTCGTGAAAGCTGTCCTGAGAGAGCCTAAATGATGGTTTTAAGGGTCAGTCCTTCATGAACCCAGGAGGTGACCCAAGGCCAGGTGGGGCGAACAGAGCCCACTCGCCTTGAGCAGGGGAGACTTAGAGGCCAGTGGGTAAAGGAGACTTTAAAAAGAACCTTTAGGGGCAGCTAGGTGGTGCAGTGAATAGAGCACCGGCCCTGAAGTCAGGAGGACCTAAGTTCAAATCTGGCCTCAGACCAAACACTTTACACTTACTAGCTGTGTGACCCCGGGCAAGTCACTTAACCTCAATTGCCTTAAAAAAAAAAAAAAACCTTTATTGAGGTTCTCTCGTCCCTTTCTCTTCCCATCTCGTACCCTCAGTCCTTCCCTCAGTGTCAGAGACTGCCTCGCACAGAGGAGGTGCTTGATAACATTTTTGTGAGATAACGCCTATGTGTAGAGTCAGAGAGTCCAGAAGCATCTTGTACCAGGCACCAATACAGAGCTACAACTGCTTAAATCTAGTCCATCCAAGATTAAAAGGCATCTTCCAAGGAGGATATTGGGGCCTCCATGAGCAACCACTGGCAGCCTAGGCAGCAGTTTCCCCATCCCTCTGTGGGCAAGATCCTCACCCCTGCCAGGGTTCTAGTCTCTGCCCTGAGGAGAGAACTCCTCCTGAGAGCCTTCCAGGGTCACTGTTGGGCAGGGCCAAAGCAGGGGGAGATGGGGGGCCTTGGCATTCCTGGATTTTCACTTTGCTTGGGAACAGTCCTGGATAATTTCTCCTCTTTTCAGATGACAAGCTGGTACAACAGCACTCCCTGTTTACACACTACAAGGACCCCTGCCGCGTTGGGCCAGGGGAGGATAAGCCATGGGCAATCGGTAAGGCATCCCCTCCCGCTTCACAGGGGACTGCATTGTCTCTGCTGCATGATCAAGGTGGCCCCCACAGAGCCACGGGGCATGACAGGAGAACAGCCAGGTGCCTGTTGGTGTGTGTTCTTACTATGTGAACCACAAGTAGTCCTGACTCAGAAGCCAATGCATGTATAAGCTGCCATGAACTTTCCAGGACAGACCACAGACTCGTAGAACGATGAGACATGAATGACAGAATGCCCCCCTTCCACTAGCCAAAAGGCCCCTCCTTTACCCCTTTCACCCACTTTCCTTAGGAAAGAAACAAATGTGCCAGTCCATTTCCTGACAACCACAGAGGGGACAGCAGAAGTGTTGGGGGAAAGGAAGAGAGAAAGGGTCTCTTTCACACCTGAGAAAAGAAGCCAGCTGTGGTGTCTCCCTCCCAGACTGCTCTACCTTCCTCTCCCCTCAGAAACAGGGAAGGGGCTGCAGCAGGAGCCGTCCCCCTGAACTGCATTACCCATGTTGCAGTGCTGGGAAGGGGGTGTATGCCCGGGCAGGCAGGCAGAGGCTCAGCCCATGGGATGTCAAGTTCAGCCTACATGTGATTCTCTTTAATTCTTGGTCTCATGTCCTCTTGGTTCTCAGGTACTTTTTTAAAACAAGATCGCCTCCATGACGAGGAGGTGGGCACCCCAGACAATCTGCAAAAGTAAGCTGCTTCACCCTGGTGTTTTCCCTTTAGCAGATAGAAAACCCAGTCTGGGTCATGACCCCAAGGAAATATCAATCAGAGAGACACCAGGGCAGAACAGAAAGACAGCCGGCTTTGGAGTCCAGTCCTGTCTGTCACTTATTACCTGTGTGACCTTGAGAAAGTCACTTCCCAGTTCTGGGCCTCAGTTTCCTCATCTGTAAAATGGGGGGTTAGACAAGGGGCCTCTGAAGTCCTTTATAACTTTATAAGAGCCATGATCTTATTTTGGGGGTTGAGGGGGAGGGTCAGTGATAGCTCTGTGGATGGCCACAGCATATATTCAGAAGAAGAAAGCAAAGTTTCACTAGATCATTATGTCAAAGGCAACAAAGAACCAAAACAGGCTTGCATAGTAAAAAGGAAAGTGGATTTGGAGTCAAAGAACCAAATCCAGGCTTGGCTACTTACCCCCTCTGGGACCCTGGGCAATTACATCTCCACCTCTCTGGCCTCAGTTTCTTTATTTGGTGAGGGTGGGGACTGGAAGAGATAATCGCTCCAGCCCCTTCCAGCTCTCCACACACACACACACGCACACGCACACGCACATGCACACACACACCTGTCCTGGAAAGCACATACCCGGGAGCCTGAGCTTCTTTAAGATGTTCACCTCTCCTTATTCCCACAAAACAATGGCGCCCAAAGCTGGTGGTCAGATCAGCCTTGAGCCACACTGCTGAGTGGCTCCTTCTACACACGGCCCCTCCAGTGTTCCTCCACCCTTCTCTGTGCATCCAGTGAACAGTCCCTTGTGTGAATGAGCCGCTGCTACGGCCTGGGGAGGGCCCCAGGTTGGAGGATGAGCAGCTGCTTGGCTAAGGAGCAGACTCTGGCTCTTCACCCTCATGATCCGTGATTATCATCATGCCCAGGCTAATCAAACCTTTTTCACAAAGGGCTTCCCTCATTGCAAAGAACATACAAATGGATTGCCTGGCTCGAATCTGACCTTTTCACTCAACACGCCCCAGTCGCACGTGGTTTCCTCACAAAGGGATCTGAACTGTGCTAGGAACCGTTCATTCAGTCAATCAATCAACAAGCATTTATTAAGTGCTTACTTCATGACAGTCTCTGTACTAACAAAGATCCTGAAAATGGGAGGCTGAGAGGGAGGGTGCTCCAGGCATAGGAGACAAGAGATATAGTGTTATGTGCGAGGACAGCTAGCCCGCCAGTGTAACTGGATAGCAGAGTGCACAGAGGGGAACAAAACATCAGAAGACTGGGAAAGGATGAAGGGGCCAGAGGACCAAGAGCTGCAAAGCCAAAGTTAACAGGGAGCCGCTAGGGTTTATTGAGTAGGGGAATTCTATGGTCAGACTTATGCTTTAGGAAAATCTCCTTGATAGGTAAAGGGAAGATGAATTACAGCTGTATAAGACTAAAGATAGGGAGCCCAAATAGAAAGCCATTACAGTAATCCGGGTATGTGGTGATAAGGCTAGTGGCTAGGGTTAGTGTAGAAAAGGGGGTGAGTGCAAGAGATGTTGTAGAGAAAGGGAATTCCAAGATATGGCAACTGCCTGGGGATGCGGAATGAGCAAGAAAGGAGTCAAGGGTCACCTGGGAACCTGGGAAGGATTGTGGTATCCTGTACAGTAATAAGGAAGTTCAGAAGAAAGAAGGGTTTGGGTTAAGGAGAGAGAGAACGAGTTCTGATTCGGACGTGTTGAGTTTGAGATGTCTCAAAATATCCAAAAGAGAGCTGGTGATACAGAACGGAAGACCGAGAAGGAGACTAGCACTGCATATGTAGGTCTGGTAATCATCTGCATAGAGATGATCACTGAACCCACGGAAGCTAAGGAGAAAGAGAGAGAAACAGAGAAACAGAAAGACAGAGAGAGACAGAGAAAGAGAGAGACAGAGAGATAAAGAATAGGAAGAGGGGAGGAAAGGAGAGGGCCCAGGATAGAGCTTTGGGAAACAGAGTTAGTGGATGAATATTCAGCAAAAGAGACTGGAAAGGAACAGTTGGACAGGTAGGAGAACCAGGAAAGGGCAGAATCACACAAATTCAGAAAAGAGAGAATATTCAGGAAGAGACAAAGTCAACAGTGCCAAATGCATTCAACAAACATTTATTAAATACCTGCTGCTTCTACAGCCCTGGGCTCCATGCTAGGAGAAATACAAAGCTGAGAGAAAATGTAGTTTCAACTCTTACGGAGCTTACAGTCTAACAGAAGTATAAGACACACAGACAGATGGAGTTCCCAATATTCCCCTCCCTAGGGCACACAGAGCCATTAGCCATTAGACCAAGAGCTGAGGCAATGGCCGGAGCAGCATGGAAGGCCTTGTGCTTGTTGCTGGAGTTCATAATGTGGGCAAATCCAGGGCTCTCGGGGAAACTGAGTAATTTGAGGTGCTTCACTCCCTGTCCAGCTGTGGGTTGTGCATGGAACAAAGGAAAAAAGCCATCAACTGAAAGAGGACACTGCTCCCTACAGATGTTTCCCCTGCAGAAAATAAGCCTAGAAAACTCAAACCCCTCCTAATGGAAAAACTATGCTAGCTGCTGCCCAGGCATCAATTTTCTTTGGCCTATTAAAAAAATTGGGCCACTGGGTTACATGATTCAGGTAGGTCAATAGGGCTGGCCATAGAGTTTTGTCTCTCATTCAAAAAACCATTAGTAATACTTGGTTACCTTCCTAAGAGTTCCACTGAGCCTAGGGCTGCCAGCACTCTGGACATGCCTTCTTGGGATGCCTAACTCCTTGGTCTATATTTGGAAATGGAACGACAACAAATCAAGTTTATGCACAGTCTTTAAGATTTACAAAGTTTTCCTCACACTTCCTCTGAGTTAGGTGCCAATCTTATTGTCCCCATTTTACAGAGGAAACTGAGTTTAGAGAGGTAGTGATTTGCCCACCTGGATAAAGAGGCTCCATCAGACTAAGTGTGAAACCTCCCTCTCCCCCATGACATTGCAACTTTGCATTAAACTGACTTCCAGTAAAGCAAAGTCAGTGGCTAGTAGCCACCAATTAGATAACAGGGCCAAGCAAATCTAATACAAGCAGATAACTTTCAAAGCAAAGAAAATTCCATCACAAGCAGATGGCATTCTGGAATCTAAATGAGACTTTCACAGAGGATGTACATTTACAAGACCAATAGTTGAAGCAATTTCTAATTCAAAGTCTAAAATTACATGAACTCAGGGCTGTCTCTTCTTACAGCTAATTTGAGGCAATTAATTAGATTATAGTCTAAATCCAAAGCACCATCCTATAGCAAGAAAATTATCTTTTATGAGGTGATGATTAAAAAATGACTCCTATCCTTTGCTTATCAGTAACTCTCAGATCACTGATGCTGGAATTAATTAGGGAAGGCAAATGGATGATAATGGATTCCATTTCTCTGATTTAATGATGTTCTGAATGTTATTAGAGTATTTATCTTTAATGCTGATAAATTACTTCTTGTAGAAACCCATGTTCGCTCATTGAACCGTTTTCATGCTCTTCTTTCCAATTTGTCTACAATTTAAGTGACCCCATCCAGAGCATCATTTTAAAACTATGCAGTATCTCTTGTCTTTTATTTCATCCTGGATACTTCTGAAGAGGTTAAGACTGCAGGAAAGGCACTTTCTAGCTCACTCATCCTCTTGAACCAGTCCCTAGCTTCAAGTTCATGGTTTTTTTCTAAGAAGTAGCAGGTGACTTGGGAGTAGCAGGGGATGGGGAATAAGGCAGTCTGTTTCTCAACCCAAAATGGAATAAAGTCTATGCATTCATCCCATTGTCCAACCAGCAAGCCTATTCATAGAACCGGAGGACTGAAAAGGAGCCGTGGGAAAAGAACAGGTCGGAAGCCTTTGCCTTGGGGTCAGATACCAACTCTGTCTCTTATCACCTACGTGACCTAAGTTTGGGCTTCAGTTCCTCGTCTATAAGATGAAGGGGTTGGATTACACAACCTCTAGGGTCCTTCCAACTCTAAACCTACAACCCACTCCCACTCCCTCACTTTACAGTCAAGAAAACTAACTGCCCTAAGAATGATTGTCCAAAGTCACATTGCTAACTAGCAGGGCTGGGACTAGAATCCAGATCCCCTGACCATTGGTCTTTCCAGTACGTCAGGTGACTCCCAATACTCTTATTTGAGGGTAAGAGCAAAACCCATAGAGTCAGGTTGAGAACTAGTTTCATGGAAATAGTTCTAGGCATGGGGTCATGAGAACTAGGTTTCCTTAGTGTTAACTCAGTCTCTGTTCAACCCTAACTTACTACATGGTTCTGAATGATCACCTAATTACTTTGCACCTCAATTTGCCCACCTATTTACATGAAATGAATAGTTACCTAGACACAGAATTAGAAGCTTAGAGCCAGAAGGGACCTCTAACCCAACCCCCTCATGTTACAGTTGAGGAAACTGAGGCCCAAAAAGGTCATGACCTGTCCAAGGTCACACAAATACTGACACCAGTGGGATTGGAATTCAAGTTCTCTGACTCCAAAGCCCAGTGCTTTTTCCTGGACCCCACAGCCTCTCTACTGGGAGATTCAATAAGATAATACAGGTGAAAATAAACCTCTGTACTCTTTGGGAAGAAAAAAATAGCTCTCAGCCCCATGGAGACAAGAGTGCCAACTGTAACATCCCTCTGTTATGGAGCAAAAACCCAGCTCCTAGAAAAGGAGGCCTGGGTGGCCTCACACTCATCACGGTGCCACAGGCTATGTGTTTCAAGCATTCATTTTTCTCCAGCAAGTGGGAAGACAAAAGAAATAGACTGCTACTTCCAGCTCTCATACTGCATTCAAATGAACTCTGGAAAAAGTCATTTTTGAGCCATTAAAAAATTAAAACCAAAAGTCCGTATTTCTAAAGCAGTTTCATCACAACAGCATTGTGAGGGCCCAGATTGGCCCTCAGGAGATTAACCAACAAGGGGCCAAGAGTTATTCTTTTTTTTTTTTTAGGCAATTGGGGTTAAGTGACTTGCCCAGGGTCACACAGCTAGTAAGTGTCAAGTGTTTGGTCTGAGGCTGGATTTGAACTCAGGTCCTCCTGACTTCAGGGCTGGTGCTCTATCCACTGTGCCACCTAGCTGCCCCGCCAAGAGTTATTCTTGACTTAAGGTGACACCTCCACCTTCTCTAGATGCAGCAGAGCCTATAGGTGCTGGGGTCACATTACTTGGCACTGCTTATTTAAGCATCTAAGCTTTTTAATGTAGAGACATTGATTTCCTCTCCCACAAATCCTCTGTTTCCAAAGAGCAAAGTTTACTTGAGTCACAACAGGAGAAATTTAAGTTTTTGAATGTTTAATCAACTTAGCATAGTCAGAATTATTTCCCCTTTTACAACCTAATGGCAATTCCACTGGCAGAAACCATAGATGGACATGCTTGAATCTTGTGTTGGGGTTTGGGGAGGGAATTGAGTAGGGGTGGTCAGAGTCATCCTTCACAAGCATCTCACGTCTGAAATGGTGAACCTTGACACTGTCTGCTCACAACTTGTCCATTTGTATGCACTAGGGCTCTGGAAAGTGAAGAAGGGAGGAAAGAATATATTGACTATCCCACCAGCAAGAGCCATCCTTCCAACCAGAAGGTCTTGGTGAAAGGCAATGGCAGGAGGATTGACTACATGCTCTACTCTGAGGAGGGGCTCTACCTGGAATGGAAAGTGGTGAGTTTTCCAAAAAAGAATGTGTGTGGGGCAGCTGGGAGGGCCTCCCTGGGCGATAGGCTAGCCCAAGCTGCTTTGACGGGCAGCCCTGCAGCCCACTTCCCAGGCTCAGGTGTGATGTCTGTGGAGCTGAGCACACAGAGCACCAATTTGCTAGACTGGATAGAGGTGGAAAGTTTTGAGTTGAGGTGAACTATCTCAGCTGAGACAGTATGGCATAAGTCAAAAAATTCTATATTTGGAATCAGAGGACCTGTGCAATGCCAGCTCTGATACTAAGAAAAGAACCACGTGAACCCGGCCAAGTTTCATCTCTGGACCCATTCCCTCATGGGCAAAAAGATCTGGTTGGGCCAGATCAGGGGTTCTCATCTTGTTTGTGTCATGGGCCCCTTTGGTGGTCTGATGAAGCCTATGGACCCCTCCTCCGAATCCTATTGGTAAATACATAGGATTACAAAGGAAACCAACTAGATCAAAATACAACATCAAAGTATTTTTGAACAAGTTCCCAGAGCCCAGGTTAAGGACTTTTTAAATGATATCTAAGGCCTCTTCCAGCTCTGAATCCTATGGCCTCGGGGCAGCTAGGTGGTGCAATGGATAGAGCACCAGCCCTGAAGTCAGGAGGACCTGAGTTCAAATCCAGCCTCAGACCAAACACTTGACACTTACTAGCTGTGTGACCCTGGGCAAGTCACTTAACCCCAATTGCCTAAAAAATAAATAAATAAAAATTAAAAAAAAATTTTTTTAAATGAATCCTATGGCCTCATTTGTACAAGTGGGTGTAATGAGAGCACCTGCTTCACAGGGTTGTGAGGATCAAATGACCTGGTCTACGTAAAACACTTTACAAATCTAGTAACCGCTACATCAGTGTCAGCTAGGATGGTGACAATCATCCTATAACCTACCGGGTTCAAACTAAGGTGGGAAGTGGGGGGTTGGTGGGAAGGATGAGCTCAGCAAGAGGAGCCTGCAATAGGAGACCATGACCTTTTAAAAGGAACATGGCGGCAGCCACCTGGTCTCTCCTTCATTGTTGTGCCAGAGTCCTTGTCTGACCACCTCTTTCCCTCTAAATTCCCTTTATCGTCAGAATGTTTTTTCTGTGCTTAACTGCAGTCCCTCCTGTTGAATTTTATCCTCACCCTCTCTTGTTCTTTATACCATTATTTTCCTGTAGGAAGTGGAGGAATTCAGTTTTATTACCCAGTTAGCAGGTCTGACTGACCACCTACCCGTGGCCATGCGCCTGATGGTCAACACTGGCGAGGAAGAGGTGTAGATGGGCCAGCCCCACGGTCAGTCAGGACCCAGGCCAGCCTAAGAAGACCTGGTCTATGTTCTTGGGATACGAAGGACTTTTTTCCAGTGAAACGTGAGCCAGATGAAAACACCTGGCCTCCAGTCGCCTCTCCCAACACCTCCAAAGGTGGACCGGGTCCCTTCTCCATTGCTCTCTGGAGCCAGGAAGAGGGGACAAGGATGGTAGGAGGTGAGGGACCAAAAGGGATCCACGAGGGCTAAGGCCACTGTCCGGAGCTACCCGGGCAGCGGGGTCAGCCTGAATTTCTACATGTTCACTGTGGACCAAGGAATGCAGTGGCCAGGCGGGTGGGGAGGGGAGGGGAGTGCCGAGCCCTAATTCCTTTTAACCAGTGCCATTCTTACAAAACATGGTTTTATATGAATTATACAGCACAACTTAGTTTGTAATCTGTGGGGTAGTGCTCTTAATGGGTTTTGCATCATTTCTTCGTATAGCTCTTATAAAGCTGAAGGCTTGGTTTTGGATTTTTTTTTTTTTTAGCCTGCCAATGTCGTCATAGCATGCCTGTGCCCTAGCATGCGCTCTAACTGCATGCTACACATTCGAGATGAAACAGCCATTATGATAGCCATAGGGTAAAAATAGGGAAAAAAAAAAAAAAAGAATTTGAAACGCAATCAGGAAATAGTCCAGGAGGCCCATTACGGACTGCTGGGCAGCCAATATTTTTTTTTTTTTATCAGCACAGTGGGGCTTTTCCAAACCAACAATAATGCTCTGTCTCCAGTGACAGGGAAAATGCTGTGTTCCTTTCCAAAGGCCTACATTAGAGGGGAATTATGCTCTAGGAAGAAAAAAAATCAACTTTGAGGTTCCCAGAAAGGCCCATGGAGAGCAGGTAGGTGTCAGTCCCCAACTGACTTTAAAGACATCCAATGCTCCTAATAGAGAGGCTTGTCAGGGCTGAAAATTAGAAAAGGAGTGTTTCTGGGAAAGCGAGACGATGTAAAGGGAAAACTCCATGGAATCTGTGGTTTTATTGGAGGGAACAGAAATCTCACCATACAAGTGGGAAGGAGCCATCCGCCTTTTACAAATACTGATTTGTAGTGTTCTTTCCTGTCTCTAAACCCACAGTTCCATTTCTATTGCATGACCTTTCTTAGCTTCAAACCTGAGTGACTTTGACCAGATGACAAAGTTAGGACTTCAGGGTTCTTCTCCCTCATGTGGCATCATTTTGTGATTTGGGGAAGGAAAAAAAAAAAAAAATCCCTTTGTGCCTCAGTTTACCCACTGGTCCAGTGGACTACTGGTCCCTACCTCACTGGCCCAGCTGAGCCCCAAGGGAGTTGGCTGTATTGTTGCTGACAGATGACTGGCTGTCCACGGTCAGCTTCTGAGTGATGGGTGTCTCCAGGATGAAGTCTGCCTTGGCCTATCTGTTTCTATCTCTTCATCCAGTAGCCACCCCAGATCTCCTGGGATCTCATTCCCAGTTGCTCAGCCGATCTACCTTTTATTTTTGGCCCATGGCTGAGGGACCCTGGACATCAAGCCATAGCAGGGGGAGGGAGGGGGGGTACAACTAAGGATCCTTTGAGGGCTAGGCCTTCACATTTCCACTGGGCTGTCCCCAAGAAGGATTCCTAGTCAACCAAACATGAAAACTGAGGAGGGGGATGTCAAGAAAGAAAAGAAAATGACCAAATCAACCTCCTCCATTTGGTAAGATTGATCATTAACACCTCCTGCCACAAGGTCTCTGCACAATACACACAAACGGAGAGAAATGGCATCTTGCGTTCCCAGACAAACAGCCCCTGTGGCACCGTCCTGCACCACTTGCTTTTCCTCAATTGTGCTTTCTTTGGGTCCTCCCTTTGGCTGGTCCTGGGCAGCTCTGATCCCAGGTATCACTGCTGCAGGGGAAAAGTTAAACTCATTTCACTCTCACCACCGAGGGATCCAGTTTGATCCTGGATGTGAAAATCGCCTGTCCGGGAGCCTGATGCCAGCCAGACCTCCTCCAACACGTTCTGCCGATTCCCGTAGGAACATCCTGTCTTAAGCACCTTCAGCTTTAATTCTCTGCGTAGCCTCTTTAAATAGAAGCAATCAGGCATTTTCCTCTCCCTCTTACCCGTGGAATTTTTTTAACTTTATCCTAAGCTACTACTTAGATTTTGACCTTGGTTTTTTGGCGATCTCTGGTTTTAAACAGAATGTTGTTACTGATCGTTCACACAACCATACAACACCCTGAGCTCTTACTCACACCGGTCTCATACCCCAGCATAGTCCACAGTAAGAACAGGGTGATGACAGCACCAGAACCCCATGGTACAAATTCTCCTCGTCTTAGTACATTGACCCTGTGCCTTCTGATGCCTTCATCTGCATGGCAGGCTGAGTGAAGGTGATGGGCAGGAGCGGCCGGGGGGGGGGGGGGGGACATATGACTCTCCTTCATCCCAATCCAGCCAACCATCCGTCCTCAGCCAAATGCAGCCAGGAGGCAAGACTGGCTATGGACAGGTGACCCGTGTGTGACCCATCCAAAGGCCTTAGCCCTTCACAGCCATGAGACACTGCTACTGTTTGGGGGAACAAATACCCCTCCCAAGTCAGGTAAGCCCAGGGCAGCTCTATGTATGATTCTGCTATAGGACTAGACCCAAGGTTAGGCTCAAATTCATGGAAACCAAGGCTGACAAATAACCGTTCCCAGGCAGTTTGACAGCAGGTGTCAGGAACGGAAGATGAAGAGCAAAGAACAGGACCCAGGGCAGCCAAGCCACTGCAAGTCTGAGGGGGAACAGTGCTGCCTGAGCCCACTCCATCAAGAAATGCTATTTTTCTGAAGGGAGCAAGATCTAAGCTTGAAACAAAGGATGAAAGGGTGCAGGCTATAGCTGAGTGTCTGATCAAATCATTCCTCTTGCTTAGTGAATCCTCCCTATTCCTGATCTCACCTCCAAGGGTCACCACGGGAGTGATCACAACCACAGAAAGCAAGGGCTCCTAGCTATGCTAGGAAGAGAGCTGACCTACCCCAAGAGAGCACTGCCAGTGTCCCGCCATCTTTACCAGGGTGTTTCATCCAGAAATCATGGTTGCAGCATCTCTACATTCCCATGGCTAGCGTGCTTTGAGGAATGCTAAACTCCAGGCCCTCCCTACCTGTCTGTTCACTCACTGATTCTCCAAACAAGACTGACATCTTTTTGGAATCATCCTCACTTTAGAAAGAGTTTTCACAGAGCTAGAGAATCCCAACCTCTTGTAAGAGAGAAGCCTTTAGACTCCGGGATTTTTTTAACATTCACTTATTCTGGTTTGTCAGCGTGCATGAATCATGTGATTGTATGATTGAACACATGCAACAGGACTCATCTGGTTACAATTGTTCCAGCTGTGAAGCCACACACCCCTACCCACAAACACAACCACCACCCACAGCCGTGCACGTACGGACATCCTCACATACAGAGCCTTGCAGAGCGCCCTGAGACCAGGGCCAGTGATGGAGAATGTCACCTTTCCCTGGCTGGGACGAGCAGAGGAGCCAGGGAACAGTGAGGGCCAGTCCTTGGAAGCCAGGCAGGGACTGGTGCCTCTCTCAAAGGCTGGAGATAGAACAAATGATGGTTAGCACTGTTCTGCCAAGTGGGCCGTCTGCTGGGAACTGTATTCACTCACCTGGAAGCAACTGTCCCATCTGGAACATGATGGCTGGGTCACACACTCCCCCCTTGCTGACTACACAGCCTTAGGCAAGTCTTTCAGTCTCCCTGTGCCTCCATCCTGTCCTCTGTAAAACAGGGACAAAGTCCGGCCAGCCTTTGGCTGGAGGGAGCAGCTTGCTCCCTCTTTCTGCTCAAACACCTAGCCCTGCTTTTATCCTTTTTGATAGAGATGTAAACTCGTGCTCAGAGACCACAACTTCCCATCCCTCAATCCTTGGCAACCAGCCCAGAGCATCTGCTTGTCATCCTGGTTTTAGGAAACCCATAGATTATTCTAAGGGGGCTTGTCCATAAACTAAAATTTTTACAATCTTGATTTTTTAAAAAATTTCCCTGTGACTCAGATTCAATCAAATCAAGTAATGTCCAAGCTAGGAGTAGCTCACAGTCTCGCTCCTAGCTTAGAAACAATAATCTGCTTCTGCTTCTGCTCCTACTCCAGGGCTGGGGAAGGGGAAGATACCTCTGACCAGCTACAAGATAAGCCATGCATTGAGACCCAGTTCAGTCAGATGGCTTATGAAGGAAGCGTTTTCATGTGTCCAAAACCATCTTGAGTTTTAAGTATGAATATTAATCTTGATGCTTTTTAAATATTGTATTACTGCTAAGGTTTAGAAAATACTGTTTTAAAAAAACTTTTTTAATTTCAATAATTTTTCTGTATTGTATCCTTCTGGGACCTGAAGGGATTTTATACGGTAAGCACACCTAACGTTTTGGTAAAACTGTATCTGATATATATTCATCTGTTTCTTCCCTATAAGAAAACAAGTCTTACACCTAATAAAATATTTTGAAGGGGTTTTTTTTTTCCATTTATTGGTGCTGAAAGGAATGAATAGTTGATATGAAGGAGAAAATAAAACATTAAAACTCAAAGCTTCTGTTTCCCATTTATTTGAGTGATTTATTGGGGAAATTCATTTTGCTCTGACCCCAGAGTAAAAGTCACTTTTCAGGGTTTTAAAAACCAAAGAAGACCCACCCATTCCTGATCTCTGAGAGAACCCACAATGGTAGCTAACAAATTTCTATTATATTCCTCATGTATCTCCCAAAGATGCAACTTATGATTACAGAAAGAAGATGCACAGCAAGACCCCAGTTCCAGGCCCAGCTCTGCCATTATATGTAACCATGACCAAATGCCCTAAGCAAGTAACTAATCCTGACTTTCCTCCAAAATGAGGATACACTGCTTGTCCTACCTACTTCATGGAGCTATTGTTAGCAAAGTACTTTCAATTCTTCAAAACATCTGTCGTTTTCTCTTTATAGGTACTTCCCCCAACAATGCAGCCTGAAAACCCTTCCTCTATTGCTTGGTAAACGTTTCACAGTTAGCTGTGGTGGGAAAAAATCCCTAAGCTGGTGGCAAACCCTACACTAACAAGCCTCTCTGTAGTCAGCTGAGCCAGACAACTGCAAGCAACAGCACAGGCTCATACTTGAGGCCTTTCCAGTTCAGTTGGGATCTGCCCCTCCTGATGGCAAGGCCCATTCCCCAGCGGAGGGCTTGAATGGAGAATTATCCGCTTCAAAAGCAGTTAACACAGGAAAGGACAGGATGTTCCCCAACTGGCCTCTAATACTGCATCCAACACCCTTTCCTGCCATTGAAGATGCAGTGGATGCTTTGAAGGCCAGGAGGGGGCTCCAGTGCCACCTCAACTGACTGAATCACTGGCTCCCACATCTCCTGGGCACCAGTTTTCGGAGCTCGGGTGGTTGCAGTTTTGTTTTGTGGCTTTCGCTTTGGCCTAGATGAGTGACAGTGAGAAACTGAAAGGTAAAAGACACTGACATAGTAAGGAACCATCTTCCAACACTGGGATCTGCAGCAAGGCGTTGGCTCTTGACTTCAATGACCCCATCTCCTCACCTCCAACCTCAAATGACATTCCCACAGC